CCTTCAGCTTCCGTTCATGCATGGTGTACAGGTGGTTGATCGGGCGTCCAGCACCATCCACGCCGCGCACCCGGACCTACTTGCCTCCACCCTTCTTGTGGACTTTGAGGAAGGTCACCAGCCAGCTCTTCCCTTCGCCCCCGAAAGCTTTCTCTGGCATCAAGTAGCGCTCCACCAGGTCACTCGTTGTGGACTCGATCATCTTCGCAATCTCAGTCACGTCCAGCTGTGTCAAAGCAGGGGTAGACAAGAGGGAGAAGGATGAGCAAAAGTGCAGTTACGAACCTCACGTAGCAACATCATACAAACATGCAACCTCACCTCTCGTCTCTGGAAGCAGCGGTTGAGGTCGTTCATGTCCGCCAAGATGTCGGCCAAGAAAAACAAGCAGAACTGAAACTTGTAGAAGGTGACAATCTCGTACGCCTTGTGATTGTGCTCCCAGAGCAGCACGATGCAAGCGCCGAGGACCTTGCACAGCCTGGCCACCGCATCTCCTCGAGACAGCCACCGGACCGTGTGGATGCCTTGGACTTCTAGGTTGGTCTTGTAAATCACACGCTGCAGGTACTTGAAGCGCTGACTCCACATGCTGGAGTTTCCGAGCAGAGTCGCCACAGTGCGCACCACCTTGTCGACCATGTCGAGATCCGGGTTTGAGTCAGCGGCGTCCTTCACAGCCAACGCCTCACTGTGTAAAGCAGGGAACAAGTATTCTGGTTTGTTAGTAAACCAATCAGCGTAGACACCATGCTACAATACAGACCAACTCACATACCGATGGGCGATGCAGTGGCATGAGAACAGACGAGGGACGTGTTCACGAAGACGCACCACCAATCCGTTCTCTCTCCCAGTCATGACCGACGCCCCGTCCGTGCTGATGCCAACGATCTTGGACACATCGACGGCAGCGGAGCAAAGATGGTTCAGCAGCACCTCAAACAATGACCCTGCATCACACCGTTCGACCGTCAGCAAAGTGAAAAACTCGCATGCAACTTGGCGGTTCTTCATATATGTAAGGTACACAATCATGTGTTTCCCTCGCGTGCGGTCAGTGCTCTCGTCGCACTGGATGCCCAGGAACGGTGATGCCAGGACGTGGTCCATCTGCATCCGGGTGAGGTAAGTGCTCATGCTGTGGACCATCTCCTGGAAGCCGTAGCTGCAACAAAGGACAGAGAAATTATCAGTACACGATAGTCAAGCTAGTTGTTTGGCGTGCATGTTTAAATTTGCAATCAATTTGAACTGTCACTACCCGCGTGAGATAAACGCCGTACGACTGCCGGGGAATGTCTGGCATGTCCTGCTCCGCAAGATGCCGCATCAGCTTAGGAAACATGCTAATCGGCCCGTCGCACTGGCACAGGAACTGAGTCGGCCGCATCAGCCGTATCGCGCGGCGGCCCTCGACGTCGGAGTTGATGAAGTCCGAAATCACCTGCTGCCCCTCGCGGATTCCCACCGCAATCTTCGTCTGGCGGTCCACCGCCGCCATGTGTGCGTCCGTATGCTCGTGCGCCCGGAACGACTGCGTCTGCAAGTCACGGCCTCCGTCGTCTCCCTGCATGGCGTACCTCGTGTTCCCCTTACCGTACAACATGCAGATGCTGCACTTCACGTACGGGAAACCGTCCTTGGTTTTCCCAAACACAAGCCAAGAAAAGTATCCAGCCCACTTCGTCTCGTAATTAATACTCGCCTCCAGGTACATCTGCTCTCGCAGCTGCGTCTTGGTGAGTGCAGGCGTGTCAGAATATTATTCTTATGTTCTAGCCTGTAGTGGGGTGCTCTATAGCGAGTACAACCCTTCTAGGGTTTGCTATTTGTATCCCCATTTCTGCTAGTTCATTCCTCTTTTTTCTTCTAATTTTGTCATGCTATCAGAGCAGGTCGATCCCTTTGGATCGATCCTGTGGGTGGGTTACCACCTCGCTTCCGCTGCTACCTTTCCCTTCCCGCCGTGCGCCCCGAGGCGCGCGGCGGTTTTCCTTCCCGCCGTGCGCCCCGAGGCGCGCGGCGGTTTTCTTCCCGCCGTGCGCCCCGAGGCGCGCGGCGGTTTTCTGCCCGCCGTGCGCCCCGAGGCGCGCGGCGGTTCATTGCCCGCTGTGCGCCCCGAGGCGCGCGGCGGGCTTCTCCCCTACGTCGCGGCCCCGCCCCGATCGTCGCGGCCCCGCCCCTCGACGCGGCCCCGCTCTACGTCGCGGCCCCGCCCTGGCCCGTCGCCGCCCGTGCGCCTGCCCGGCTCGGCCCCGCCCTTCGTCGCGGCCCCGCCCCGGCCCGTCGCCGCCCGTGCGCCTGCCCGGCTCGGCCCCGCCCTACGTCGCGGCCCCGCCCCGCTCGTCGCGGCCCCGCCCCTTGTCGCGGCCCCGCCCTCCAACCAGGCCCGTTGTGGGCCCCTTTCACCACACCGCCTCCCCCCCCCCCCCCCCCCCCCCCCCCCCCCCCCTGCCATTTCCCGTTGCCCGTCGTGGCGACCTGAGGGGGCCGAGCTGTGGGGTGGCAGGTATCGGGGTGGCCAGTGTGCCTTCCTCCCTTTCTCCTCCTCCTCCTTCGTCTCCCACTGCTGCAGCTGTCGCTGAGGGGGGTGGTTGTGTGGGAGACTGGGTTTAGGGTTTAAGGGGGGTGCGTGGGAGTGGAGCTAGCGGTGTAGCAGTGGGTGTGTATGAGGGGGGTGGGACTGTGTGTGGGAGGTTGAGCGGAGGTTGCCAGTTTGTCGTCCGCAGCACCTGTAGTCCGGGGCGCTGTCCCGGTAGCCCAGTGAGCTTGTCGCTGAGCCGGTCGCCTGTGGGTCCGTTGCCCGTCTGCCGCTACTTGAGCCGCGGGGCCTGTTACTCCCGTAGTCCGGGGCGCTGTCCCGGTAGTCACTGTGCTCGCCACTCGTGTTGCCCGTGTGTCTGCAGCTTCAGCCGCCGCCTTCTATCTCCTCTCGTCTCACTCTCCCTCCTCCTCCTCACTTGCCCGTTGTGACCACTACTAGCTTTGCTCATAATTGTTAACTTTGAACTATTTCTTCTTGACCTTGTGCTCAGAATGTGTGGTGACATTGTGATCCACCCTGAGCTTGTACTGTTTTGCCTGCTCTGCTGATTACACCCCACTTTGGCTATGGGGGTGTGTCAGAATATTATTCTTATGTTCTAGCCTGTAGTGGGGTGCTCTATAGCGAGTACAACCCTTCTAGGGTTTGCTATTTGTATCCCCATTTCTGCTAGTTCATTCCTCTTTCTTTCTTCTAATTTTGACACGGCGAGCCGGTATCCGCGCGCACCGGGATGTCACCTTCTTCCGGCAGCTCAGCTTCTTTCTGTGCACGCTCATCGGGCTTTTCCGGCAGTGGAATACGGCGGCCTCCCACCAGCAGAGTACTCTGCGCCCACTTACCAGATCGCGCACGCTTGGGAGCGGAAGTAGCCGACGGCGGGCCAACGGACACCCGCACCGTGCTTGGAGTAAGACTGGGCGAGGGCGGTGGAGGATCTTTGCTGCAGCCAGCAACAGCCGGGGGGAGAGTGAACGGGACGGGAATAGGAGAAGCAGTAGGAGTAGGGGTTACTACAAGGGCAGAGTCGTAAACGGTAGACCTAGGCGGTTCAGGTGTGACGGGAGCAGCCGTAGATATAAGAAAATCTAGCCCAGAGCGGGGAGCATCCGAAGCTTTCTCCGGGTGGGACGGCGCTGTTGGTTTCGCTTTTACAGGCGGCTCATCGGGGCCAGTGTCCGGAGCAGCTTCCTCGGTCGGCATGGCCTCCATTGGTGGCTAAACTGAACGAGAGGAAAATGAGACAATGAATGCACGTAATGGAAAGAACACACTAGAGAACAAAGGAACGTTGGCTGCTGGTATGGGGAGGGAAGGGGAGGTTGGAGATGGCGGGAGCACGAAACCACCGCGCCGCGATTCCACGGACTTGATGGCAACATTCCATGATGAATTCGTCGTTGCATTCAAGGCCGAATTCATTCACGGACTCCTTGGCTGCCCCCGCATGCTGTCAACAGGCCATTCTGGCCCATGGCAGACACATGCTGTGCACTGTGCGGTGCGCGTGGCTGCACCGTCTCATTGATTTGGCTGCGTTGGCGTTGTTGCCAGCTGTGATGTACAGCACGTCAGTGTTTTCCTTTGTCGGTATTACGTCACTCATGGGCGCGTGAAGGGGGTACCTCACATGGGGCCACTCGAAGAAAAGATTACGCACAAGGGGGTTATCGAAACGAAGCTTTTAGGAAACTTCGTCCCAATACCCTCGCATTCAGGGTCCACGGAACGCATACCCTGCATAGACAGACTCCGCAAGTACACTACTCTGAGCCTAGTTACAAGAATTCAGAGTCCGTTAAGTAGCTTCTCTGATTGGATCAGAGTTCACAAAATACAAAACCTGTGTTTGCAGGTGTTGGGAACAAATAGTCTTAAAGCGCCTCTGTCGTGTCAAAACTCAAGACACAAGCGAAGCAGCTCAAATCAAAGCACCGCAAGTCAACCCTCGGAGGTTAACGTAACCGCTGGAGGTTACAAGAAAGTCAAAGGTCAGCGACCTTTGACCTGACGCAGCGCGACAGCAAGGACACACAACTGACTCGACATTGAGCAGTTGCCCGAGTCGCACTGTATCGAACCGCAACAGTAAAACAGTTACAATTATGTCTCTTCATATTCTCTGTACTCATATATATATATATATTTTGTATCTCTTTGCATTAATCAACTTACTTTGCTCTCACATACTAGCGCAAGGTGGTTCAAAGACTCTTATCAATACGCTTCCGCTATTACATCTTTTACCCAAGACTTTAACTCTACTAAAAGATCCTAGGGCGTTCAGCCCAACAGCAGGGACCACCAAGTCAGAAGCCTGTAATCACCCTGTAATCACTCTTGGGGAGCAGAAGCAGCAGACTTCCATTCTTCAGCATCGGGGCAATCACAAATCCCCATCGTCGCTTGAAGGGAGCTCCTCGTTATTGCGGAGGGCGAGGACGATGAAGGCTCAGAGGAGGCGGAGCACACTGCCTGCCAGAGAAAATGCCAAGTGCCCAGAGGGAGACGTGATAATAGTGGTCATCTTGGCCTTGCGCCTGCTGAATAGGCCCTGCAAAGAGGGAGAGCAGGTAAGGTGGGGAAGGTAGGGAACGCAGGGAAGGGAAGGAGGGAGGGGAAGGTAGGGAAGGCCAGGGAGGGAAGAGAAAGCAGGGAAAGGAAGATAGGGAAGGGAAAGTAGGAAAGGGAAGGAAAAGAAAGGGAGGGAAGGCGACAAAGATGCAGGCTGATAACTGGCAGAGCGCACTGCCTGGAAATTCATCTAGTCCAGCAGAGCCAATCCATTGTTTTTAGACCACAGTTCTCTGTTACAAGGGTGGCCATCTTAGTCTTTTGCCCACCCCAACAGGACCAGTTGGAGTTTAACAACACACTCGGGGCAATGCTGTTAACAGCCCACCATCCACCTCCCACAATCCACCACGCACCATCCACCATCCACCACGCACAATCCACCATCCACCATCCAGCGTCCACCATCCACCCCCTTACTCACCTCACCATCATGGCAGCATAGAGGGCGGGAAAGGAAGTAGGACAGATGGACAGCTACACACAGTAATTACCCCCCCCATCTCCCGCCCCCCTTTCCTCCCACCATTTTCCTATTCCCCACCACACACGCTCCCTTATCCGCCATCTCACCGGCACTGCCTTGTCTTCACCCCACTCCCCCCCTCTTCTTACAACGCACCCACAAGAGGGCATGAAAGACAGGAAACGAGTGGCAGGGCCGTGGAAGAGGTGCAGGTGGGGAATGTGCAGGTGGGGTGAGGCTTCGAGGGGATGGGGTGGGGGTGGGTGCGATGGGGGAGGAGGAAGGGAGAAGGAAAGAGCATGGGGAAAGCAAAAAGTGTAGGGCGGACCATCATGCATCGTTGCTTGAGTGTTGTCCTAGTCGTTATCTCGACCAATCCCACGACGATGGGGTCACTGCTGGAGAGCAGTCGGGCGACACCAAGGTCCATCGCAGGCCAGTTGTGTTCCGCTACGAGGGCCTCACTGCCAGGGAACAGCACGCAAAGTACGCGCACACCTAGGGTGCGTGATGTGCTCTGCTCTGCTGCGGTCTCGTCAGCAAGCTCTTGCTGGGTGGGTGGTATAGTCCAGCCCTGTTGACCTGTGGCCCATGGCCCTATGCCCGTGATCTGCGCGTACATTGACTTGCGCTAGCCACTGGATCCCACTGCCTCCTCGCCAGCTGACTCCTCCCGGCAGGATCAGGGCATGGGGGAGGAAGACGGTGGGGGAGAGGCGTGTGGCCAAGGCGTGAGAGGGGGAGGTGTTGGAAGGAGGCGTGGAGGGGAGGCACAGGCGGGAGGCGTGGGGGAAAAGGGGTTGGGGAGCGGGTTGGGCGAGAGGTTTGGGGGAGAGGCTTGGGAAAGAGGTTTAGGGAAGTGTTGGGAGAGAGGCGTGGCAGAGAGGGGTAAGGGTGGGGCGTGCGGAGAGTGGGGGAGAGGTGCGGGAAAGCAGGGAGGGGAGACGGGTGGGTAGAGGCCGTTGGGGCAAGCGGGTGGGGGAGAGAGATGGGGGAGAGGTGTGGGGGAGAGGGTTGGGGGAGAGGGGTGAGGGAGAGGGGTGGGGAAGAGGGTTGGGGAAGAGGGGTGAGGGAGGGTGGTGGGGAGATGGGTGCAGATAAAAAATGGGCATTGTGGCTTGAAAAAATAACCAATCTTTGCGTCACATACCTCACCCTTTTTGTCCGAGCCTTCACCTACCCTCATCTCCCTTCAACCCCCCTATCTCCTCTTAAGCCTCCCACATCCCCCTTATCCCATCGCCCCCCTCACCCATGGGCGCAGCCACTCGTGCATGCCCTGCGCCATCACCCCTCACCGCTCATCCCCAAATCCCCTCCTCTCCTCTTCCCCCCCTCTCTTCTCCTCACTCACCAGCAGGCGCGACCACTCACACATGTCCTGGGCCAGCTTGCGCAGCACCACGCGGTCTGCTACTGCTGGTATGCGGCTCTCACACACCTGGCGGGGGGAAAAACGGGGAGAAGGGGGAGGGGGGACAAGTATGGATCAAGCACACTCATGCATTTGGCATGAAGCCAGACCGCATTGGAACAAGAGAAAGCCCTGGAGGAGCAAGGAGATTAGAAGAGGAGTAAGGAGAGTAGAAGAGGAGCAATGAGAGTAGAAGAGGAGCAATGAGAGTAGAAGAGGAGCAATGAGAGTAGAAGAGGAGCAATGAGAGTAGAAGAGGAGCAAGGAGAGTAGAAGTGGAGCAATGAGAGTAGAAGAGGAGCAATGAGAGTAGAAGAGGAGCAAGGAGAGTAGAAGAGGAGAAACGACAGTAGAATAGGAGCAAGGAGAGTAGAAGAGGAGCAAGGAGAGTAGAAGAGGAGCAAGGAGAGTAGAAGAGGAGCAAGGAGAGTAGAAGAGGAGCAAGGAGAGTAGAAGAGGAGCAAGGAGAGTAGAAGAGGAGCAAGGAGAGTAGAAGAGGAGCAAGGAGAGTAGAAGAGGAGCAAGGAGAGTAGAAGAGGAGCAAGGAGAGTAGAAGAGGAGCAAGGAGAGTAGAAGAGGAGCAAGGAGAGTAGAAGAGGAGCAAGGAGAGTAGAAGAGGAGCAAGGAGAGTAGAACTTGTATTAAAAAAAAAAGTGTCAGGTGGCATCAGAGTGGCGCAGTGGAAGCGTGGTGGGCCCATAACCCACAGGTCCGAGGATCGAAACTTCGCTCTGATAAGACTGTCACCCTAACGGAGCCGATACCGTTTATGCTAAACTGTACTTGTTCTTCAGTTCCTAGAACAGAATCTTGGTGCGAGGATGGCTGTAAGGTTGTGATGCACACCACGCATGTACAACCACCATGGATCTCCCACCCACGCACTCTATCCTCGAGTTCTGAGATTGGGAACCCTCCCAAACTTCTGCCCATTCATTCCTTCAAAAGCATTATATATCCTACTACACTGCATATCTTCTTTTTTTTCCCTACATACCCATCCGTTACAGGTGAAGGAGGTGTTTTCTCTCCCATGTATTCCTGTAGGCGCCAGTAGAAGGTAGCCAGAAAGGCCGAGGCCGCATGGGTGAGTTTTTATATTGTAGAACATTCATACACACACGCATGCAGAAATGAATACGAAGAGTGAAGGCGACCCATGAGGAGGAAAGGACTGCATAGGGTAGTAGTGTGAAGTCACACACGAGTCGGAATGAACCCTATGCTCCTTCATGGTTCATTCCGACTCACGAGCCGTGAAGGACACAAACAAGGGGATGGGAAAGTTGCTGACAGAGTGAAAAGGAACCTCAAGAACAGCGAGCGAACCAGAGAGAGGAACCAGAGGAGTCAGGCAAGGGAGGAGATGATCAGGTTGGAGAGGTACACAGAGGGGCTGGTACAAAGGTGATGTTGTACATCAGCCACATGAAGCGAGCTGAACGAGCAGAGCAGCCAGAAGGTCCCAGGAACAGTGATGGTATCAGAAAATGGTTTCTGAGAAGGGAATCGTCGTGCAAGAGAAAGGAGGTGAGAGAAAAATAAAAGTAGCAAGCAAAGACAAAGGGGTCTTATCTGTTGAAGTTTCTCCAAACAAAAAAAACCTTCATTGTATAAGCAGAATTTGACGCTCCCATCACACCTTTACATCAATGCAAGTAGGTAGGTGAGGGTTGCAAAACGCGGCAGTGAGGGATAGGCCAGAAGGGATCCCAAGAGTAGGAAGGGAGCAAGATACAAGGCTGCACGAGGATGCGGACCAGGAATGACGACGAGTCAAAGATCTCAGCTCAGCGTGGCATGAAATATGCAACCTCACCCACCGGATACACATCCTCACACTGGATAGAACCGAATCCATGATTGGTTGCTTCCGTGGCTTGTTTCTCCTTACCACAGCCAGGCGGGGTGAGGGAAGACGGAGTGAGCACACCACGCGGGATCTGAAATTATAGTGCAAGGGAGAAGAAAAATGGTGGTGAGTCCTATACTATGAGTGAACAAAGGGGCTCGTGGCCTGGCCGTTTGAGGTGCACTTTGAGTAGGAAGATTCCTGAAGTAGACTCGCACGCAACTCGGGTCAGCTTGAGACCATGGGGCTGATAGAAAACCAGAGCATCTCGGGCTGTGCTGGTTTTCTATTACACACTTTCCAAGCCAAATCGCATGCATTCAAGACCTCAGTTTCAAAGATTTTCCGTTGGTTGAGGTTGGCGAGGAACGTAAGACATGCTAAATCCATCCCCTGACCTGGAGGACTACCCCCGGGGGGAGTTTAGAACGAGGTGGCTCATGAGTCGCAAGGCTGGGGCGAGCCTGGCAGCTTGGTGAGAGCCTCCTCGGCCCGGGCATTAGATTCTTACTAGTTTAAACCACAAGCAAATGCACTCCTAAAATGTGAGTGGAACGCATTTGCAGGTCGAGTCAATGTTGATTTGCGAGTTGATTCGAGCCGGATAGCCGAGTTCGGTAGAATCGAAATTTGACTCGAATCAGGTCAAGGTTGGTTGACTCGTTTTGGCACATTGGCCCGATATGACAAAAAGTACGAGCAAAACGATTTGTAGGCTGCGAGCCAGGCTTGCAAGGCTTGCAATGCGGAAGGCCGACTGGGACAGCTATAGGATGGCTTACCTCTTCTCGATGTGCCCCCATGCCGCCCTGCCCCATGCCGCCTTGCCCCATGCCCCCCTGCCCCATGCCGCCCTGCCCCATGCCGCCGTGCCACATGCTACCTTGTCGATTGAGTGCCACGCTGCCCTGTCTCTGCAGCACACGCTGCTGCTGCTGCTGTCAAGGCTGCGCCGCCCGATCGCCACACTACACTGATGCTGTGAGTGCAATCCACGCTGCTGCCCACCATGCCACCACCACCGCCATTATGGGCAGTCGCGGTGCTGCCATGCTGCGCGCACTGGGGGAAGCCCAGGGAAGAGGAGGTGGGTGTGGGCATGATCACGCCCGTGAGAATGGCATCCGTGAGTGCTGCATCAGCTGCCAGCAGCCGTGCTCGCCCCTCCTCCATGCTCGCGCTCCTCCCAATCATGCTGCCTCTGCTTCCCGTGCTTCCCGTGCTTCCCGTGCTGCCTATGCTGCCTGTTCTTGTTACTGGCCGCCACAATTCCTCCATGCCTGGGTGCCCCTGTCCCCTTCTCCCCCCCCCCCCTCCTTCGGCCTTGTGCCTGCGCGCATGTCTGTATTGATCAAACTGCCGCTCATGCTCCCTCCCGCCCCTTCTCCCCCACCTTCTCCCCCCCCTCTTCCCTCTCCCCCCCCTCTTCCCTCTCCCCTCCCTCCCATTCTCCTGCCCATGCTGCCCTCGAGTCGTCTCCCAGGGGCAGTAGTGTAGGGGAGGCGCGCAAAAGAGGAGCTAATGCTGCTAGTGCGAGGCGTGCGGAGGAGAGGCTGAGGCAACGGGCCTGACACAGGCAGTGGGGGGAGAAAGAGGGGAGCCAAGGCGCTGGTGGGACGAATGTGAGAAGCAGAGAAGAAAGTGGTGCTGCGGATACTGCAGACACGTGGTGTCATATGGCATTGCGTGGGGGACAGCCACAGCAGTCGCACATGCGCGAAACACCTAAGGAGCAGGGGAAGAGCGACTTCTAAAGCAACGTGCTGGACACTCCCCCCCCCCCCCCCCCCCCCCCCCTCCCCCAACCATCTGCACCACCACGGCCGCCAGTATCCGCGTCCCCTCTGCTGCTCTTGACTCCTCATTCCTCCTCCCTTTCCTCGCCCGCTCCCTCTGCTGCCCCCTCCCATGCTCGCTGCCTCTCACTCCTCCATCTGCCTGCCCCCACTTCACCCTGCTGCTCCACTGCACCCGCCGCCAGTCTACCTGCGCTGCCCGCGGCGCTTGCGTCGCCCAGGCGCGGCCCCAAGAAGGAGTAGAAGGCGGGCACGGGTGCTGCAGGGCTCACTTGGGCGGGCGGCGGCACGGAGTGGTGCGACAGGGAGAGCAAGGAGTAGGAGGGGGGATATGGGGAAACAAGGAGGGAGGGGAAGCGGGAAGGAAGGGCAAGAAAAGGGGGGTTTGGGGGGAAGAGAAGGAAGGTGAGATTAGGGCAGTGGGGGCGGAGAGAGGGGTTGGGAGGTGCAGACACGAGTGTGGCTGCCCCTCTCCCTTGCGCTCTTTTCTTCCCCCTCCCCCTCATCCTTCCCCATCCCCCTCATCTTACCCCTTCCCCTCCCCTCCCTCTCCCTCCTCCCCACTGTCCACGCCCAGCGCTGCCAACCACCGTAGCGCCACCGCCGCCGCCACCTCCCGTGCCCACTCGCCCTCCCCCTTGCTCGAACAAGTTGCCAAGGGACAAGGAGCGGATGGGGGAGTTACCCACTGGATATACCTGAGGCGCAGGGGAAGCACTCAACCATACAAATAAGCCCCACAGGCGTTGCACGAATAGAGCAGGATGGGGAGCGAAGTGGGTGCCGTGGGCACGCGACAGGGACTGATGCTGCGAGCAACGCGGACGAGAATAGAGCAGGATGGGGAGCAGGGTGAGTAAAGTGGTTGGTGAGACGGAATGGTTTAAGAGCAACAAAGAGCACGGATCTAGGGAAACGTCTTTATGCACAGCGATTAGAATGGGGAGCAGAATGCGGGACGCGGGGAGGCAAGGGGCTTTCGAGGCGCCAAAAGAAGCGCGAAGAGAGCGGGATGGGGAACGGAGTGAGTGGTGCGGTGCGGATCGACCTACGTACACACTGAATCCCCCTCGTTCCCTCCTCTCCCCTTCAACAATGGTGATTTCCCATCCTACCTGCAGCAAGGTTTTTGTCGGACCAATCCACTCGCACATCGATTGTCGTCCCCTCTTTCCCCCTTGCGTGCAAGTCTGCGCCTCAATGGATCAACCTGCGAGCAGTTATCTCCTAATGCGAGCAATAGAGGGACCCCAGTTCAAGTGAGTGAACTCAGTGCAATAGACCCCACTGCGACTGCGACTTGCCTCAGCGACAGACCCCACCCCAGTGAGTCAGACCTCAGTGCGACAAACGGCAGTGCGACAAACTTTAGTGTGACAGACGTCACAGATCCAGCGCGCTGCCTTGTGTGGAGCGACAGTCGCATCGTCATGCCCAAGTTCTTCCAATGAACAGCACAAAAACAAGACAAAGAGGGTGACCACTAGGCAATTAATAATACGTTATCAGAGTAATCGCTGTGCTTTGATGTGACGTCGCACTGTGAAGTGCAAAACAATACTGATACAAAAAAAAAAAGTGTAACATAAACTAACACGGTTTCCTCAGCAAACCCATCTCACCACAAACTAGCTCGTGCTCAGCAGGATTCGAACCTGCGCGGGCAGAGCCCAACAGATTTCTAGTCTGTCCCGATAACCACTCCGGCATGAACACACATCTGTGCTCCCCACAACTGGATCATAATCCCCTCACCAGCCCTGGGCTTCTCCTTTTGCTCAACCCTGGGAACCCAGTAGCCCTGCCTAACCTTGCCTCATCTGCTCGTCCTCGAAAACTGACGGCATGCAACAAGCTTGCTAGTGGTGACTTGCTGGTGAACCATCCTTAGACTACGTTCCTCTCACCACCTACCGCCTTCTCCCGCTGCTCTACCCTGAGATAGGACATGACCACAAGGAAAACAGCAGGCCCACCTAGCCTTGCCTCACCCGTAATCTGTTCGTGACCCACTATTGACAAACAAGTTTCAAACAGCCCAGCCCACCACCCCTCACTCACTCCCAAACGCACCTCCTCCCTCTGCTCGTCACTCCTAAAAACCGCCACGGGGGACCCAGCCGCCCCTCCCACCAGCTTCGCCTCACCCGTGATCTACGAGTGACACAGAAGCATCATACAGCCCAGCCCACCACCCCTCGCTCACTTCGGACGCACCTCCTCCTCCCTCTGCCCGGCCATCCTCAAAAACCGCCACGGGGAACCCAGCAGCCGGGCCTCACCCAGCTTCACCTGCAGCCTCCCGTGCAGCTCTGCCATGGCAGCAACCTCTTGTGTGGTAGGGGCAGATGTCAGGGGCACACAAGTCGATGTGGAATACACATTCACGGGCATTATCCAGCCTGTTAACTCCCCCCAGGTCCCTTCCACCCATTGGTGACACCCATCGCATCACCTATGACCTCCGCCCGCCCCAGCAGCAACCCCTCCTTCACCCCCCTTCAGCCCCCCCCCCCCCCCACTCCTTTCACAAACCCCCACTCACCGTCCCCTTGGCCAACTTTCACACGAATACCCACCCCTCACCGCTCTGACCTGTGGGGTTGGCGATATATCCACCGTACCACCGCCCCGCCATCTTCAACACCAAACACATCCTCTATAGCCTCCGCCAGCCCCATCAGCAGTCCCCATTCCCCGCCCCCTCGTGAGCGCTCTCTGCAGCGCAAACGCTCACAGAGCTGGGGTGGAGAGGGGGGAAGAGAAGAAAGGAAAAGGGGCAGTGGCTAATGAGAGGGATGTGAGTGACAGTGCTGTGAGGATGCAAACCTGTGGGCCGGAAGTCCCTAAAGGAGAAGTAGGCGCAGAGATAAGGGGAAGCGGAGAAAGGCGGGGAGCAGTGCTTTGATGAGGAGGATGCGGGCAGGGAGGGAAGCGGGAGACAGTGCTAAAGAAGCGTGAATCTGAAGGTCCGTGGAGGAGGAGCAACGGAGCTTTGGGGGGGAAGGGAGAAGGGGGAAAGAGGGTCAAGGGGAAAAGGCGAAAGTGGTAGGGAACGCAGTGAATTAGCGAGAAATGTCATGTGTGGTAAGGGCAGAATTCAGGGGATCAAAATGCAGTGTGGCATACACACATGCGGTGCTGAGCGGATGAGATGGGGGGAGGTTGCAATAGGGAGTTGGTTGGGAAGACGTAATTGGAAATTTAAAAGGAGAGGAGGTTTTTGCAGGGGGGATGGGGGGATGAGATTCACTCTTGGCTGCAACCATCCTTTCAGCTCACCTATGCTGCCCATCAACTCCCTCCACTGACATCAAAGCCATCCCAAAGCCACTCACAATGACTCCTTGCCAACTCTTGACTGACTCTCAGCAACTCTCGCCGAGATAGCTATTCAACTGCCCCCTTCCCACCGCCACCCACGAGTGACCCGAGTGGTTCCTACACACATCTCCCCCGCTGCGCACCGACTTCCAACCAAGCCCCTACATGTTTCTAACCTTGGCGATTTCTAGCTTGTCAACTGCTGCCACCAAACAAGCCCCCAGGCGTCTTCTATGGCCTCTGCCAGCCCTGGAAGCACCCCCTCCCCCCCCACTCTCCCCTCCCCCCGCCCTTTCCGTCCCTTCTCCCCCCTTCCTCCACGCCCCTTCTTCCCACTCCTCCCCCCCTTTTCACCGCTTCCTCAATTGACATCCACACACGCCCCTACCCAGCAGGCCCGTCACCGACTCTCACCTTCGTCATACAAGTCCATCCGAAGCCACAAGAGAAGTTGGCGAGCTGCCATGTGAAGCTCGGGATCTGAATTGTACTTTCCCGTGTGTGATTTCGACCACAGCCTGTGGGGGAGCAGAGAAGCGGGGATTGAGGACAATATGAGCGGAAAAAAGGGGAGGGTAGAGGGTGACGGGGGGGAAGGGGGGAGAAGCAGAATGGGAGAGACAAGGCGAGTTGAATAGGGAGAGAGGAGCGCAGGGAACCAATCGCAGCGACAGTAATTGTTGCAACACGTGGATGGCAGAATGACGCTTCAACAACCTGTGCCATGTGGCATGCGACAACTGTACCTCCTGAATCTGTCCGATCTTCCCAGCACCATCATCCCTTCGCTTTTTGCTTTATGCATCATGAAATCTCCAATAACCCATATCTGTCATGTCACTGGTAAATATCTTTAATGTAAGCACCGGACAAAACGTCTTGCTGCTGCGACGCCATGCGGGGAATACCCAGCGAAACACAGAGAGCTGCAGCTTACCATCAGCACTACTCCGTCCTTGCAACCCTCCCCACGAAATCCACAGCACCTTCGACGCCTCAGAGAAAGGCCCGAAACAGACCGAGGCAGCCTCGCTGCACCGCCTGTGCATGCGGCCGAGTCACCATCCTATCTCAGAAATCCCGCGAATGGGTGTCGCGATTTGCCTGAGCAGGCAACAGGGACCGCCGAAGGAAGGCTGAATCACTTGTGCGGCGTCGCACAAGTGCAGCAGCAGCACCAGCAGCAGCAGCAGCTGCGCACCGTCTCGCGAGGCGGGAGTGCGCAGCAGCATTTGCAGCAGCAGCGGCGGGAGCTGCACACCGAGCAAGGCGGGAGTGCGCGGTGCGGGGAGAGCGATGATCGGATCAGGTAGACTCGAGTCTGAAATGCCGCAACGTAGTAGCAGCTGGCGACATGGGCACGACGACGGGTCGTTTCTGTAGCTGCTACTTGAAAATAATGTATATTGGTAGCTATTAAAGGATAGCAGGGGCCATTGATAGAACTAATATAGAGAGCGAGTGCACATGGTAGATTGGATTGGCGGTGACGAAGACGCTGGCGACGATTCCACCAATGCGTGGTGCGGACGGAAAGAGCCGGTACGGTTCCATGCACAGCTACTATAAACCGCCATCGATGCACAGCTGCTTCAGAAGGTGGATTTCTGGAAGTGAGGTAGGCACAAGAAGATTCAAAATTAGGGTTGGAGGCTGTAATGACCATCGAACAGAGAAATGGAAACGACGATAAGGATTCAAGCCTCCATTTACACGAGCACTAACTTGCTTGGCGAAATTTCCGTGGCAAGGTTTGGGGTAGGGACAAAAGGCTCGGAAGCGACGCGAATCAGCTTCGGCTTCGTCAAATCGGCCGAGCCTGATCCCCACCATCTTCGGGAATTCGTACGATACCCCTAAAATGTCGCCTCCAAACCAGAAAGTAAACCGAACGCACAGACCTCCGAACTTCACGCGTCCCACACCAAACGGCTCGCCTAGGAACTAAAACGCCAGCCGAGCCTGGCGATCCGGACGTACACCCTTTGCCTCGACAATCGTAAGTTTTTTGGCCAGTTTATTGCGAACTCGGAACCTCGCAATGTTCGGAGCTTCGCACAATGCCGAAGGGACCTGAACAAATTTGTTCATCCTAAGTTTGCTTCCAGCAAATAGAGCCTAAGCAACAACCTGTGTCAGCGGTCTTTATGCTCCCTCATAATCGCCTTGAGGAGCCACGGCTCAAGTGGAAAGCAAACCAGAATCCACACACACACTCGTTTTCACGTTCGAGGCTTTAAGTAGTACGCTCTGCTGTGCGTTGTCGGTGTATTATTTAGGCGTCTAAAAATTGGTCGCTGTGCTTCGCTGTCGGTTCTACCAGGTTCAGTCGTCGTGATGGGTGCCAATTTCAACATGTCACGCCAATTCCGCATGTCGCGCCCCCGTTTTGCCATGTCACGCCGCCATTTCGATACGTCGCGTCGCCATTCCACCATTGCTCGCCGCCATTTCGCCACGTCACGCAGCAGTAGGATTCGTGCAGGCAACGGTAAGTCGCACTTGCGCCGCTTGCATTTCTCGAGAATGCGCTACCTGCATGCTCTTCCCTCTTCTGCCTGGAAGTAGGAGCGGTGTTACTACCATAACGGGTCGCGCGCTCGTCTAGTGCTACGGCGCGCTGACTGGGAGCCGTGGCTTGCCACGGTCAGGTGGCTGTCGGCTCCTTGAGTCACCGAGACCTGATGGCGTGGCATATGGCCGGGGCCAAACCCGTGGTTTAGTTTGGCGCTTGGACGCAAAGGAGGATGACCGTAGCGCAGCTCGTCCGCGTGCTCGCCGCGTCCTGCCGTGGCGCCACTCGGAACGGCGAGCACGCAGCGGCGTTTCACGCGTACCTTAGTAGGATTGGCGTCATTGTAGCGGCGGCGGCGGGCTTTCCCAGTGGCATGACAGCGAGCACGAGAGAGCTCATTCCCCCACGCAGAGCGCTCTGCGGACCTGGCGGCACACGATGCCTAGGGGGGCTGCGTCGGTGGGGAAGCTAAGTGCCGTGAAGCCGCCCCTACGGACGTGCCGCGTATGTGCGTGTGCCTCGTCACTTGGAGAGCGCATCGTTGCTTTGTGCATCGTCGCTCAGTGCATCGTCACACTGTGTATCGTTGCTCAGTGCATCGTCACACTGTGTATCGTTGCTCAGTGCATCGTCACACTGTGTATCGTTGCTCAGTGCATCGTCACACTGTGTATCGTCTCGCAGTGTATCATCGCGCAGAGCGACTGAGTCAGCCCCATATGCACACCCCCCAACACTCGAACTATCCTTGTCGTTGAATACAAGTGGTACAGCAAAGTCAAGCGTAAAGAACTAAGGTAAGATTTCATCAGCCAACCTAAGCAAGGAAAAAGCCCTGACAGGTATATGCCACGAGGGGGTGCATATGAGGGAAGGAAGTGAAAAGGAGGGGGAGGGGGGGGGGGGGGAGGGGGAAGATGGGGGTATAGTCATGGGGAGTGGGTTGCTCTCCCTCTCCTGCATCCCGTCCCTCTCCCTCTGCCTCGCTTCTGCCTTCCCTCCCCTCTCCCGGTTTCATTCCCTCCACTCCCCCTTCCCTTTCGTCCCCCCTGCCGTTCTTACCAAACGCAGACCCATCTCCTGCTCCCACTTCTCCCACTGCTGCTGCTCACTTGCTTCTGCCAGCTGCACGCTGGTGGTGGCGCGGCAAATACAGGCAGCAGACTGTGAGTGTGCCCGGGCGGGCGGGCGGGCGTAAAGCGGCGGTATGGGGAGGTGACATGCAGGGGTGATGCGCGGTGATGCGAGATTGTCCAATGCCACTGTGACTCTCTCTCACCACGTTCCGCAGAAGCGCTCTAGCCGCTGCGCATGTCCTGCAACGATCAATCGCTCTCCTCCTGAACGCACAGCTCACCTCAACTTCCTCGTTCCAACTCTCCTTGCCCCCTCTTTGCCTCTCCATGCCCCCCTTCCTATGCTACTACCCTGTTATCACCCCGCCTTCCCTCCTTTCCCTCCCTTTCCTCCTTCCACTCCCTCTTCTCATCCCCTCTCCCAACAACCCTCACTCATCTGTCGTACAACCCTCTTCCGGTCCCTGCGTGCCCCCATGCCCCTCCCCGCGTTGCTTCCCTCCCCCCACACTCCACCGTGCCCGCTGACCTCCGTGAGCCCGCGACTGCACCCCCTGCGTCCAACCCTCTCCTGCCTTCGCTGGCAGTCAAGGTGTTTTGCACGTGCTGGCAGCGTGGGGGCAGCTTGGGGGCGGCTGGCAGGCGTGGTCGGCCAGCAGCGACTGCTCCACCGTGCAGGGCGTCGCATGCGACGCTCGCAGGCAACGTCGTCTCCCTGGTACGTGAGGCATGTGAGTGCTGCTCCAGCGCATGTGAGTGCTGCTCCAGCGCATGCGAGTGCTGCTCCAGTGCATGTGGGTGCCTTCAGAGTACTCTCAGCCCGCTTGCCAGGGGCGTGCCAGCAACGTGTGCAGGTACTGGCTATGCCCCAGGGGTGCGTTCGGGTGGGCGGCTCTACTGAGAGTGAGAGTGCTGAACAAATAAGAGGGAAGATTGTGACGAGGGCGGATGAAAAAGCAACGCGGAATGCTGTCTTGTCATGTGTGCGTGTGTGCAGTGCGGCAGATGGGACGCACCATCAACGTCCCAGGCATCCCTCTCCTCACCTCAGTACATTGCCCCATCTGTAGTCCTTCCACGTCTCCCCTCCCTCTCCCTCTCCTAATTGTTCATTTTCCTTGCCCCAACCTTATACGTCCAACCCCATCCAACCCCATTTCGTGTATCCCGTCCATCCCCTTGTTTCTCCATGTGTGCGCCACGCATGCAGCAAGCCGAGAGTGAATCATCTGAACATCTCCAAATGACATGAGCAACCTCCTTCAGTGTCACCTACCTGTCAGTACCACCCTTACCCCTCCTACCTAATCCATCCCACAACTACTTGGCTCTGTCCCTGTTTCATTGCATGAGTTTGTGTCACATGCCAGATAGTCCCATGCTCTCTCCCTTTCTCGGATCCCTTCTTGACCATCTGTCCTCTGGAGGAACCGGCTGAGTTGATCAGCTTGTTGAGCAACCTGATTTGAGTGATCTGCGCAGAACTGGCTGAGTTGATCCGTGCCTGAGTCCCTTATCTGTCGCACCTCAACCAACTCGCCACACTGTAATATATCCACTGCACTGAGAGATCTGGGCAGGCTCAATTGCTGAGGGGTGTCACTGGGTCGAAGAGGGTAGAGGGTTAGTGGTTGCGGGTGTACTGGCATGGGGCCACTGCGTGTGCAGAGTGTAAGAGTCTCAAGTTATGATTGTGATAAATGAGAGATAGGTTAACATAGGAAAGGAAACGGTGGGCAGATTGGATGAGTGCCCACACCATCATTGGTGGGTCAATTAGGTTGACCACGCAATGATTGGCCAACATTATTGGGGGATGGGGGGGGGGGCAATAATTGATTGGATGGCCCAGTCATTATTTGGGATCCCCCAACAAATACGGTCCAAAAATGTTGGGAAGCACTCAACCAAAATCGGTTGGGGCTACTTGAGCCAAAGTGTACCACATTGGGTGTATCACTTACAGTAGTATTAACTAGCATATGCAACATTCTAACAGATAGATATTGAAAGAGGAATGGGAGGGGGATTGCTGTGGTGCAGCGCGGACTATGTACAGGGCGTTGTGTGCATGCATGCATTCTTGTGCGTTAGCACTCAGCACTGCACCATGCAAGAATATTGGGTTCTGCTTTTACCAAGGCTATCCCATGCATGTGTATCTCGTTGTCCGTAGCACTCAGTGGGGCACATAACGCATCGCCAGTGGTCCATTCCATTCCCTGTAACCATGTGCAGGAGCCTTTCGGTCAACGGGTTCACTGTGGACAGCAGTCTGCCCTCAGCACCATCTCCACCCTCGATATCCTGTCAGCCACCCTATTGCCTCGCCCACCCGGCTGTTGCATCTGCACGTCACTCATAGCGCCATGCGGGTCTTCTTTTGCCATGCCATGCTCTGACTGTCCTCCTCGCCTTGCTGCATGCAAGGCAGTGAAGCTCCGCTCCTGTCAAGATAACGATGTTGCAATGCCCCCTTGAGTCTGATAAAGTGACGCTGCAGCCCTCAACAATATGACTTACGCGCCTAGGCCATGTGGATGTTTCTCGAGCTCTTGAAAGAAGTCAGATTGATTAAAATGGATCGATGCAACTGCCTCTGTTCCCCTGCTATGCCTTAGAGTCGACTACAAGCTCTGTGCTTTTTAGCCGACTGAAAAGAATTTGTCTCTATCCTGTGCTCTGCCGTGCAGCGACCTGCACAATAACAACTTCCCTGGCGCCATTCCTGATTAGATCTCCACCCTACCCACACTGATGAGCATGTATGCAGACATCATGAGCATGTATGCAGTCATCATGAGCATGTATGCAGTCATCATGAGCATGTATGCAGTCACCATGAGTACGGTATGTACGCCGTTCATTCTGTCACTCCATGGGGCCAAGAATCTGCTCGTGGAACTGTGACTCACAAGTTGTGAGAGCGCGTGCGGTGTTCTTTTCAATCTCTGGGCTAATCACCGCTCCACCGAAAATTCCTCTTTCCCTACCGTACTCCAGCCTTAGTAATGTCTTGAATAGACGCTTGACACCAATCATTATAGCTGTAGGGTTCAACATACAATCATAGACAATTTTTTATGCTTGTGAGCAATTCATTGTGTGCACAGGGTACAGCCGAAACATAGTGTATGGATCCAGAACGAGATTTTAGTCTACAGACCTTCACTCCCCCGTTTTGGCCCCTGCTTCATAAGGACACTGCCCTAAGGACAGAGGCAGTGGTTTATGATAATGGATTTCGCCGAAACCCACTATCTGGTAGCTCTCTCATTTGTCTGCTCTGATGTTTGTAGTCACCATGAGTATGTATGCAGTCACCATGAGTATGTATGCAGTCACCATGAGTATGTATGCAGTCACCATGAGTATGTATGCAGTCACCATGAGTATGTATGCAGTCACCATGAGTATGTATGCAGTCACCATGAGTATGTATGCAGTCACCATGAGTATGTATGCAGTCACCATGAGTATGTATGCAGTCACCATGAGTATGTATGCAGTCACCATGAGTATGTATGCAGTCACCATGAGTATGTATGCAGTCACCATGAGTATGTATGCAGTCACCATGAGTATGTATGCAGTCACCATGAGTATGTATGCAGTCACCATGAGTATGTATGCAGTCACCATGAGTATGTATGCAGTCACCATGAGTATGTATGCAGTCACCATGAGTATGTATGCAGTCACCATGAGTATGTATGCAGTCACCATGAGTATGTATGCAGTCACCATGAGTATGTATGCAGTCATCATGAGCATGTATGCAGTCATCATGAGTATGTATGCAGTCACCATGAGTATGTATGCAGTCACCATGAGCACGTATGCAGTCACCATGAGCATGTATGCAGTCATCATGAGCATGTATGCAGTCATCATGAGCATGTATGCAGTCATCATGAGGATGTACGCAGTCATCATGAGCATGTATGCAGTCATCATGAGGATGTACGCAGTCATCATGAGGATGTACGCAGTCATCATGAGCATGTATGCAGTCATCATGAGCATGTATGCAGTCATCATGAGGATGTACGCAGTCATCATGAGCATGTATGCTGTCATCATGAGGATGTATGCAGTCATCATGAGCATGTATGCAGTCACCATGAGTACGGTATGTACGCCGTTCATTCTGTCACTGCATGGGGCCAAGAATCTGCTCGTGGAACTGTGACTCACAAGTTGTGAGAGCGCATGCGGTGTTCTTTTCAATCTCTGGGCTAATCACCGCTCCACCGAAAATTCCTCTTTCCCTACTGTACTCCAGCCTTAGTAATGTCTTGAATAGACGCTTGACACCAATCATTATAGCTTTAGGGCTCAACATACAATCATAGACAATTTTTTATGCTTGTGAGCGATTCATTGTGTGCACAGGGTACAGCCGAAACATAGTGTATGGATCCAGAACGAGATTTTAGTCTACGGACCTCCACTCCCCTGTTTTGGCCCCTGCTTCATAAGGACACTGCCCTAAGGACAGAGGCAGTGGTTTATGATAATGGATTTCGCCGAAACCCACTATCTGGTAGCTCTCTCATTTGTCCGCTCTGATGTTTGTAGCGCTCGTGCTACTTGTCAGGCCTATCACATCACGATAGGAGACACGTGTAGCATGCTGAAATCATGCTCTCCTTTCTTATCCCCAACCTAGTGTTTAATCAAGCCATGTATTTACAGGGAGCTGGCACGGTCAAACATTGGTGGAACCTAGCCCCTCTATTGGAACCCTGAGTCACCTTGACATCTCGCCAACCATAACCCATCCCTGTAGCTTCTCTCTTGGTGTTTGCCTTGCTTGCCTGGTGTGTTGCTGGTGCAACCTCCTGTGCACGTATGATTCCGAGTCTCCTTGGCTTTGCATCAGTCTATGTCAGTAGCTTTGAGGACAAGAGTCATCAGAAAGGTACTGAGACATTGCGTGTTAAAGACATATATGCAGACTGCAATAGAATGCTCTCTCTCTCGTTCACTCAAGGACTCCCTTATCGTTCCATCATCATAGTCTGTGATGTATCACGTGTGCACACGACGTCTTCCACGCTGTGGGTTGAGGTAGCTGGAGGGTGTGGGGCTCAGGGGCACGGTCCCCAGATCATTCTCCTTCAGAACTTGGGCTTTTTGTGTGTGCACCCTGGCTGCTTGCTGTTGTATCCAGTGTCCCTTGGCGTCTGGTCCAATCACACTTATCCAAGTTACCAACCTTGACATGTAGTTGAAATCATGCTGAATGCAACGCAACTGCATGCAACAACAGCACTCCATGCTACCTCCGCTGAGGGCCTTAGGAAGCGCACTCAACCCTGCTTCATGGGAGTCCAAGTGCTGCCATGCCATGCACGCCGCGTTCACGAGTTGTCTTCGGATGTGCTTTCTTCCAGCTACCTGAACAGGAACGTCCTCTCTGGCGATGTGTACGGCATCACACGCAATATGACCAGCCTTGTCACGCTGCACGTGCATGGGGGGAATCGCATATGGCATGCACCATGTGCCATTTGCCATGTCCCAGGTCCCATGTGCCAATGGGCCATGTGCCATTTGTTACTTGCCTTGGTGTGTTGAGGGGGTCCTGAAAGAGCCCATTCTAAGAGAGCATTGGATTGGGAAGGAGGACTACAGATAGGACTGAAAGTGCTTGTTACACCAAGCCCCTTCCTTTGGTCCAATGGTTTATCTGTATGTTCAAGGCTCATCTGCAACAGAACACTGCATCTTTCCTCTGCACCACCCTGTGCGTGTTCACTTCTCACCCACTCTTGTCACACCCCCGCTCATGCGCCATTTTCCCACCCACTCCTCGCCTTGGCTCTCCCTGCCCTCGCCCCCCCTTCTTTACAGTGACATGTCAGCCAACCAGTGACAGGGTGACTGCCATTGCCCCTGTCGCCCTACCTGCAGCCAACCAGTTCCCGCCCTACCTACCCTACACCCACCGCAACTTCTTCTTCCACGGGACCATCATCCCGCCCGAGGCCAACCACACCTACCTTGGCAACGCCTTTGAGCATTGTCTGCTCAACGCATCCCGGGCGCCTGGAGACTACTTGGAGCAGAGGAGTGCAGAGGAGTGTGGTGCGTTCTGTG